GAGGGGCCCGGCCAGCGTCTACGGGCCGCAGGGGAGCCCGCCGGGAGGGGCGGCGGACGGGAGGCCCTCTGCCGGGGCGGCGTGACCTTCCCGGGCACCCGGGGATCGGGCCACGTCGGCGCTTCTCCCCGTCCACACGTGTCCCCTACCCGCGGGCGCGCCCCTTCGGGGTCCCCGTCTACCTCCCGCCCGGGTCTCGTCTTCCTCCCTCCCGGGTCCTGGCCTTGTTCCCGCCGGGTCCGGAGCCCTCCGCCTCCCGGAGTGCCATGTGGGCTCCGCGCCGGGACCGAGCGCGGGGAGGCGGCGGCGCGGATGAATGGAGACGCCTGGCCGCCGGCAGAGGGCTCGGGCCTGAGCGTTCAGAGCGGGGGACCCGGGGTTGGAGTCGCCTCTCGAATAACCCTATCGGGTCCGGGCCACCGAGGCAGCCGGCGCTGGCACTCGGCCTTCCTGCAGCGCCAGCTCTGCTCGTGTCGCCGGGTGGAAAATGTGGCCTCATCTGCTGCTCCCACCTGAGAAATTACGTTTCCCCAGGGAAGAGGGAGGAAGGCTGTTGTTGCTCCTGCAGTCAGATCCTCCGAAAGACTAAAAGAGAATAAGGATATTTTAGGATTGCGCGTCTCAATTCCAAGTGGTATCAAAAGTTTACTAATGTTAAATCTTAAGTCTGGCTTACTTGATTCTAATTATTCTTTGTGTGAAAGTTAACAAGGTAAACTGGTTTTCCACTCAATCATTCCAACATTTGTTTTCTAATTACGGGAGCTTTGTTGGCTTGGTAGTAAGGAGTTGTGCTGCCGACCCAAAGATAAGCAGTTCGAACCTATCAGCCGCCCCGACCGGAGAAGGACGGGCATTCTGCTTCTTTGTAATTTGTTGTTGTTGTTGATTGCTTTCCAGTCGAGCACGACTCAGCGACCCTATTGAACAAAAGACTTGAAGCCCCTCTACTACACTTCAGAGAGTTTCCCCGAGGCATGTGGTTTAGGAAGTGGATGCCACTCCTGATTTACTGCCTCTGAAACCTCGCTGCTTTGGGTCATTCCCACTCAAGGGTGCACGACATTAATTACAGTACCACTGCGGTAATCCCACCCTTAGAACTTCCTTCCAGTGATTCTCATTCTGCTAATTCCTCTATCCTACTACTTCATATCTTCTGAGCCTTTAACTTTGGGCAGATCTTGTCCTTTTGACGTTACTTGGTTGGTTATTCTGAGGAATGGCACCTGTTGTGTTCACCTTACAGGCCTGACTGCTGTTGGGCTGAAAGATGAGTGACAGAGGTTCAAAGGGTGACTAAGCTTTAGGCTTGCAGGAGCACATGCTCTAACACTCTCTATAGGACCAGTAAACCCGGTCTTATTGGTTTTAGTTTTGTTCCGCATCCCTACCCCCAATCCAGCGTCTTCTACCTTGATCCCTTCCTTATCAGAGTGGTCACCAGTGGGAGCTGGGCACTGTCTAGTTCTGATCTCAGGTTGTGGTGGTTGAGGTTTGGGTGACCTTTAGACTAATTGTTTCAGTGCATCGTTAGGCCCCCCACCTCCATCTTTGTTTTGGACCGGGGAGACCAGAGGGTTGCTCACCAAAGTAGGATGTCTTTGGGGACTATGTTATCACAGTTGCTCTTGAACTCCCTCAAGTCTGTGGTCCCTAGGACCAGGCAACTGATTCTATAAAGAGTGTGTTAAGTTTATTTTAAATCCTACAGCGCAGGCAAGAACTCCACTTGAGTCTTTCCCAAACTTTGGCTACACATTTTTCATGTATTGGCCACACAGTAGGTCTGGTGGCACAGAGATTTATGTATTGGTTGGCCAACAAAAAGTTTGGTGGTTCATATTCACCTGACACTCCATGGAAGGTTTACTCCTGTAAAGAGTTCTAGATGTAGAAACCCAAAAGCTTGATTCCATGGCAGTAGTTTTGGTTCAGGTTTTGGGGGGTTAATCTAGTAGTGCTCATTGCTGTTTTCTGCCCTGCTAAATCTGTAGATAGTTGCACTTTTCTGAAGGGCTTGAATTCACATTGATGCCACAGTACAAGGCCGAGGGGCTTGTGTACCTTTCCTACTGAGCAAGATTTGGGAACTTAGAGGACACATTGAAGTTTTTCCATGTGCCATGTGCTTTACTTTACCTCTAAAATGCAGGGCTGAATATTTTGTTCAGTTTGGGGCCTGAATGGAATAATCTTTTTAATTAATACAGGTTGTTAGAAATAGACCTGAAAAATGAGTCTAAGTCCTCTCTGTTAATGATCAGTTGTGTAACCTTGGACAAGACCTTGCCGCCCTCTGGCCCTCAGTTTTCTGCCTGGAAAAGGAGGAGTTTTGGATGAGAATTCTGATACCTGTTTTTAAGTAAATACCAGATGACCTCTGCCTGGTCAGTTTAGGAATTGGTACTGTCTCCAAACTGTCAACGTAAAATTGGTATCTTGCAAAAAGAGCAAACAAGTATGTCTTGGAGAGGGTGCAGCCAGAGTGCTCCTTGGAGGCAAGGATGGTGAAGCTTCATCTCACATACTTTGAACCGTGCTGCTAGGGGAGGCTGTTCCTTGGAGAAGGACATCATGCTTGGAAAGGTGTGAGGATGGAGAATGAGAGGAAGACCCTCAGCCAGGTGGTTTGACAGTCTTAGCGTGGCACAGGATAGGACAGGGTTCCGCTCTCAGTCATACTGGGTGACACCTAACAACAGTTTTGTTACTTTATAAATAAATACTGCCCTGTCTTTCTTGGTTTTAGCTTTAAAAACTTTTTCGGTAGAGGAATGAGGATTCTTGCAGTTGTCATTGACAGAGTGCTTCAGATGGTTAAGTTTCCTTGTTGGCTAAAATGATCTTCTGCTGAAGTTTACTGTGTGTTTGGGGCTAGAAGGGACCTTGTGTTCATCTCCTTCAGTGCTTCCACCACCAATACCTGCTTGGACGTGTTCTGGGGATGAGAACAGAAGCCCTTTTATCAGCCATACACATATGTCACATTATAAAATAAAACTTCCCACCAAATCTACTGTCGTCAAGTTGATTTTGACTCAGAGAGACTCTTCATTGTGTTTCTAAGATGGTAAATCTTGATGGGAGGAGACTGTCTTCTCCCTCATAGCAGCTAGTTTGACAACCAGCTTTTGGTTGACAACATTAAACACTTGTTCCAGGCCTTTCTGTAAATCACTGGTACGGTCTAAAAACTATACCACAGTGGTTCTTTTACTCTTGGATTAAGGAAACACCCTCCCATATCCCTTTCTAATATATATACATTTTTAAATGGAGAACAAGAGTTGGTGGCGATAACTATGACACAGAATGGGGCAGAGTTCAGGGTCGCTCTGAGGCTTTGTCAACTTGATGTCACAGAACAGCAACAACAGCTGGAGGCTTAATGGGTAGGGAGTTACGGTGCCAACCCAAAAGTCGTCAGTTCAAATCTACAAGCTGCTTCAAGGGAGAAAGATGGAGTATCCTCCTCCCATGTGATTTATAGCCTCTGAAAACCTGCTGGAGGGTCAACTGTGAGTGACTCCTCAGTCAGCATCAATGGGTAGGAAATCAATATTATTGGGTACCTGACTGGAAATAGTTCACTTTGATTCTAAAAATGTGGGTGCTTCATCAATTTCCTAGGCCTACTTTACGAAATGAAGGTTTCTGGGTGGACTCTAGCTTCATCAACTTCCTAGGCCTGCTTTACAGAATGAAGGTTTCTGGGTAGGAGGCTTGGTGATTTAAATGTTTAACAAGCCTTCTCTACCTGCCCAGGAGAGTCTTCTCAAGCAGGTTTGGGGCGTCGGGGACCAGATGTTGCTTCTTAGGGAGCACCTCACCTGGGAGCTTGTTTAGACATACAGACTTGGAGACCTTTGCCCCCTCCCAGGCCTGTGGCATCAGAATCTGCATTTCACTGAGAGCCCCCAGTGATGGACAGACAAGCAGCCTGAAGGGTGAGAAGGGCCTCTGGCCATGGTGCTGGTAACTGACCACACCTCTTAACTCTGTGTGCCTTGCACTGGGTGTTCACAGCTCATCCACAACAACCCAGTCAGGTGTCTTGCGATCTCTCCGCAGTGTAGTGAAATTGTTTTCTTAGTCACCTGGTACAGATGAAGACTTGCCTGTTTAGGGGCCTCAGGAGCCACCCTGCTGATGGCAGGCAGGCCTTGAGACCCAGGCACCCAGCTGGATATCCTGAATGGAGAGCTGATCCTTGTAAGCGGATAGTCCAAGCCAAAGCCACGAACAAGTTAATTCCCACTTGAGGTGACCCGACAGGACACAGTCGAGCTGCCCTGTAGGGTTTCCGAGGCTGTAAATCTTTATGGGAGGAGACCCCTTCGTCTTTCTCCTGCAACGTGGCTGGTGGGTTTAGACTTCTAACTGTAGGATTGGAAGGTCTGGTTGGAGGCAGAGCAGGCTGGCTGTGGTTGGCTTGCTTATTTGGCATTTGTTTTTGAAGTTCTCAGAAGTGGTGGTTCCAGGCCCGCCCGTGACCCTGGCATTGACATGTAGGGAGGATTTTTGAACAGAGTTGTTTTGAGGGGATAGGGTGACGGGGTAGGAAGGTTGAGTCCTGTGCTGCTGGAAACCTGCCCCATCTTCCTTTGGGGAAATGATGAGCAGATTCCCTTACTCTTGGGGCTCGGGAACTGGGAGGAAGCTCAAGACTGGGAAACGGGAGGTCCCGGAGGCCTGACTCACGGTGAATTTTTTGTCCCCTCCCAGGATTATGTGGAGCCTGTCCTAGATGCCAGAGACTGCCTTCTACAGAGACCAGCGGACAAGTTCTTCACCATGAAGTCCAACCCTGCTATCCAAGCTGCCATCGACCTCACGGCGGGGGCCGCAGGTAGTTCAAGAGAAAGCCTGGCCTCCTGTGCCCCTGAGTGCCCGCTCAGTTCTAGGGCCAGGGAACGTGGCATGAAAACATTCAGGAAGGTCTTTCTTTTCTGACACTCGTACATTGTTAGATGCCATTGAGTCGAGTGTGACTCCTAGCGACCCTGTGAACAGCCGACCTGAACCCTGCCTTATCCTGTGCTGTCAACATCTCTGACACGCTGAAGTTACCATGTTAATCCATCTCACTGGGGTCTTCCTCTCCTTTTCTGACCGCCCATCTTTCCCCACATGACGTCCCTTTCCAAGAAATAGCCTCACTGTGGATTAACCTTGGAATCAGCCCTTCAATGGTGTCATAGTGTGTTCAGAACTGACCAGAAGGTGTCATGAGGATGATTCTGTTAAAAATTCAGGAGACACGGTGTGTGGGTGAGATGACCCCCAGTTTACAGATGGAAGACAGCTCAGAGGTGAAGTCACGTGTGGGAATACACACATGCAGGGGACGTGTTTCTCTAATCCAGGGGTGACTGGAATGCAGAAATGAAACCATGTCCTCAGTGGGGGGTGGAATGCTGTTCTTACTAAACCCGTTGCCTTTGAATCGACTTTAACACCTGCTGGCCCCTGTGCATCAGAGAAGAGTTTTTGGCGGCTGGCTTTTCAGAAGTAGATTGCCAGGCTGTCCTTCCAGGATGCCTCTGGGTGGACCCTAACTTCCAGCCTGTTGGTTAGCCCTGGCATGTTAACCTTCTGTACTGTCCAGGGATTAAAGAAAGGAGGGTGCCCTTTAACAATGTCTGTGCTAAATGAGACTGGTAGTTCCTCATGTCTTAAAGGCCTGGGAGAAAAGGATGCCGGGGAATGGTCAGCTAGGGCCCAAGGGATAGGAGATTTTCACCTCCTCCAATCCTTTCATTTACTTTATTCTCACAGTATTTTTCCATGAGTCAAAGGTTGCCCAAAGTGAGATAGCGAGGAAGGCTGGAGACTACCTCTTACAAACACTGATAAGTTCACCAGGTTGAGACTGAAGGCTGAGGAGCAGCCTGAACAGGGCACAGAAGGCAGCGGGTCACCATACAGGTGCTTGGGGTCTCTGGGTCACACCCCACCCGCTGTGGAGGCAGGCTGCCGGCCCCCAGCCCCATGCACCCCACCTGGAGGACACTGAGAGAGGATGTCTGTCTCCACTCCATGACCGCTGAGCTCAGTTTTTGTCTCTCTCAATAGGAGAGCATCAAAACACATCAGAGATTGTCAGCTTTGGGGACTGTATGTCCTATCAGAGACCTAGGATGTCTTGTGACAGAATTAAAAGGCATTTCCTAGAAAGGGATTTGTGGGTGAGCAGGCATTTGGACGACTTATTTATAATTTATAGTAAGATTTAAAGGCTAATTTACAGCAGGATTGTTGAGGTTGGTAAAAGCGCTTTCAGTACTGAGTATTAGCATGCATCAGGCCTTTATACACAACAGCACTGAAAATACCAACCCAACTGCTGTCAAATCGAATCAGTCAGGGGCCACCTCATTTAATTTGCAGGATAACTTAGGATTAGTATTCTTCCTCTGCCTACTCCAGGGAACTCTGGTGCCCTAGTGAGTAAGGAGTTGTACAACCCAAAGCCGCATTGTTCAAATTCACCAGCTTGTCCTTGGGAAAAAGAGGGAAGTCTTCTCCTGTATGATGTATGTTGTTGTTGTTAAGTGCCATCAAGTTGTAGGCGACTCATAGCAACCCTTTGAACGAAAGACCTGAACACTTGTTTAACTTTAATCATTTCTCCAAGTTCATAGGGTTTCCAGAGGCAAGATATTTCGGAAGTGGATGCCACTCCTGCTTCCAAGCTTGTTTTAATTGAGAAGCTCCACCAAGCACTGTCCACCATGGGTAACCATTATTGCATTTGACACATCAGTGCCACAGTGGGATATATAGCCTCTAAAAAGCCTCTGAAAACCTGTTGGAGGATCAGCTGTGGGTTTGTTCAGACTAAGTAGCACATAACAGCAGGCCACTCAGGACACCCTAATGTCCATCTGCCTCAGGTTGTCTTACATCCCCAGGAGTTCCCATTGCAGGGGGCCTGTAATGAGGCTGACATGGGGGTTGTATATGTATGACCCCTGTTAGTGGCAGAGGATATATGAGAGGCAGCTGTCCCATTCTGGAGGGTTCTCAACATCTTCCGGCGATACAATGAGAGGGGCCTTTAAGAGATCATTATAGAGACCAGGCTTGGAGAGGGGCCGCTGTTCTGTGCATGGCTACACAGCTTGTGGGTATGAAGACAGGGCTGAGCCCTTAGTTTCTTGATTGCTTGTGCTTCTCTTGTTTTTTGTTTGTTTTAATAATATGTAACGGGTCAGATTACTTGCTGTTGTTTACCTTCAAATCAGAACCGACCCATAGCTGACCTTCTGGTGGGTTTCAGAACAGTTTTTCCATCCTCTCTGGGAGCAGCTGGTGGCCTTGAACCACATGCCTTTGGGATTGCAGCACAGCTTCTTGCTACTAGGTCATCAGAACTCCCTAATGGTTCAAAAACCACCCCAGGAACAGATATGAAGCTTTCAATACTTAATAAGTGAAAGCCAGAGGAGCTCTGGGAGGATATAAAAATATTATCCATGAAGACTACAAAAGGTCATTACAAAGACAAAGGAGGAAGAAAAGAGCAAGATTGATGTTGGAAGAGACTCTGAATATTGCACTAGAGTGCTGGAAAGCCAAAGCAAAGGGAAGAAATCAGGAGCTGAACAGATTTCAAAGGGCACCTTGGGAAGACAGCAAAGTATTATAATGAAACGTGCAAAGAGCCGGAGTCAGAAAATAAAAAGGGTCGAACTTGCTTAGTATTTCTTAAGCTGAAGGAACTGATGAACAAATTCAAGCCTCAAGTTATAATACTTAAGAACTCTGTGGGGAGAATATTGAATGATCCAGGAAGCATCAAAAGATGATGGAAGGAGTGCACGGAGTGATTGTACCAAAAAGAACTGGCTGATACAGAAATATTTTATGAAACAACTTATGTTCAAGAGGAAATGGTGATAAAGGAGGAAGTTCAAGCTGCTCCAAAGGAAATGTCAAAAAACGACCCCAGGAATTGATGGAATACTAATTGACATATTTCAGCAAACAGATGCTGCCCTGGACGTGCTCACCAAGTTGTGTGTTTACAGTCATCAGAATAGAGCAAGGAAACACTGCATGGTTCAAAATCAGAAAAAGAGTGCAACAGGAATGTGTCCTGTATCCATACCTTTTCAGTCTGTATGCAGAACAGATCATTCGAGATGCTGGACTTGATGAGGAAGAATATGGCATTAGGATTGGAGGAAGACTCATCAACAACCTGCGTTATGCAGATGACACCACCTTACTTGCTGAAACTGAGGAGGACATGAAGCATTTGCTGTAGAGGGTCAGTGACTAGTTTGCAATACGGATCGAAGCTCAACATCAAGAAAATGAAGATTCTCACCACTGGGCCAATTGGCAGTACCCTGATAGATGGAGAAGAGATTGAGATTGTTAACAATTTCAACTTGTTTAGCTCCACATCAACACTCTTGGCACCAGCAGTCAGGAAATAAAAAAGAAAAAATGCATTGGGAAAATCTGCTGTCAGGGACCTCTCTAGAGTGCTGAAGAGCAAGTATGTCAGCCTAGAGACAAAGGTGTGCCTGATCTAGTGCGTAGTCTTTGCAGCTACTTGCTGTGTGTCAGAGAGCTGGACAATGACCAAGGATGACAGAAAAATTGATGCCCTTGAGCTGTGGTGCTGGAGAATAGGATTGAACATACCATGAACTGCCAAGAGAATTAACAGGTTTGTCCTGGAGAAGGTGAAAACAAGCTGCTCCTTGGAGGCAAGGATTTTGAGACTCCAACTCACTTACTTTGGGCATGTTGCCAGGAGGGATCAGTCTTTAGAGAAGGACATCATGCTTGGAAAGGTCAAGGGACAGTACAGGAGAGGAAGACCCTGGATGAGATGGATTGACACAGTAACTGGGGAAATGAGGGTAGATGTGTAAGAGACAGTGAGGTTAGCCCAGGATAGAGCAGGGTTCGGAACTATTGTGCGTAGAGTTGTTATGGGTCATGGTTGACTTGACAGTACATAACAAGAAGAGTGGATCAGAAGGGCGCTAAAGTGGCTCTGGTTGAGTTGCCAACACAAAGGCACCTGGTTCAAATCCACCAGCTGCTCTGTGGAAGAAAGATGGGTGGTAATATGATTTTCTGTCTCTGAAAACCCTCTGGAGGGTCAGCTTATGTGTCAGTTCTGACTTAAGGATGCATAACAGTAATCAGAAGGATTCCCATGGGTGGAAATTTATGGGGGCTTTCAGTCTTGCTCTCTGGGTGTGCACACTGCTGGGCTTTCCGATGTTTCTGTTGGCCGTCGGAGGGAGCAGGGAACCCCACTGAGATGCAGCTCCCCAGTGGAAGTACCTCCTTTGGAAGAGCAGAGCCATTTGAGGTCAGGGTGATGTGGGGGTAGCACAAGCACGTTCTAAAGGGGAGCTGGTTCCACTCTGTCACACTGGGTCCCCAGGAGTCAAAGTGACACAGTGGCACCTGATGATACCACGTACAAGTATGCAAGATTGGAGTCCTTGGGTGGTGAAAGTGATTAACACACTTAGGTGGTTTCCAAAAGTCCACCCAGAGATACTGTGAGGACCTCTGGTGGCAGAGCCTATAAGGGGCTGCACTGCTGACCCAAAGGCCATGCCCACAAGGCACTCAGTGTCCCCAGGTGTTTTGAGGTCTTGTCTCTGGGAGATGGTCTAGGCCCTTGTGGTTGTGTGTGTGTCTCCTTTGCCATCTCTCGACCTTCCTGTCTCTGCCCTGAGAGATTCCTTCACATCTTGTGCTTAGCGGACTCCATTAGGTTGAAGGCTGCAAATCCCTAACCCAACCTCATTACAAGGCTGGGCACCCCGCCTTGAGAAGGTGCCAGGCTATTGTGCCACCCACCAGGACTGCGGCTGTGACTCCTCTGAGGAGGGTGAGGTGACCACGCGTGGCTCTGAGGAAGTAGAGGTCGCTGCCTGCTCCTTGTCTCGCTGCCTCTTCAGGAGCTGGATAGCTGTTGGGCGCAGTGCTTGGTGCTGGTTTTCAGTGGTCAGTGCCCACTCAGGGCAGAGACATAACAGTGCTCAGTGGTAAATGACGTGGGCCACTCGCTGGTACAGGCATTTAAGCCTCATGCCTTCACTATATTGGAAGCCCGACTGTTAAAATACAGCGTATTCATAGGGTAGTTACTTCTGCTGTCAGAAGGTAGCATAAAGGTGTCAAAGACGTCTAGCTGATTAAAATAAGAATACTTTGAACAAAACCTTAGAGTCACCTCATCTACATTGAGCTTGTCTGAATGATGTCCCTACATTACAATTCCAACATTTTTTCTTCTTACAGAGTAAGTTTTTTCATATAGTTAGGATCCTGTTATATTTCCTGTGAGACAGTAACCCTGTTAGTTGTGTAAAATCTTAGTAAGTGAGCATTTTACTTCTTCAGAGTTAGAGATGGTTGGATAAGACAGGCTGAAATGATGCTAAGAGAATCAGTGTCCCGGGGTAAGCAGGCCATGACATTCTGTCTTTGGGTACTGCAGGCTGTGGCACGCCGTCCTGGGTGGTCCAGGCTGTGGCACGCCGTCCTGGGTGGTACAGGCTGTGACATGCCGTCCTGGGTGGTACAGGCTGTGATGCTGTCCTGGTTGGTCTAGGCTGTGGCACGCTGTCCTGCGTGGTACAGGCTGTGATGCTGTCCTGGGTGGTACAGGCTGTGACAAACTCTTCTGCTTTGCAGGGGGCACCGCATGTGTCCTGACTGGGCAGCCCTTTGACACGATGAAGGTCAAGATGCAGACGTTCCCCACCCTGTACCGGGGTGTCACCGACTGTTGCCTGAAGACCTATACGCAGGTGGGCTTCCGGGGCTTCTACAAGGGCACCAGTCCCGCGCTGATTGCCAACATCGCCGAGAACTCTGTCCTCTTCATGTGCTACGGCTTCTGCCAGCAGGTGGTGAGGAGTGTGATCGGACTGGACAAGCAGGCCAAGCTGAGGTGAGTCAAGGACGCCAGCCTGTTTCAGCGTGTGAAAAACCCCACTGCTCCGTAGTCAAACTTCCCATGATAACCCTGTGAAGAAAACCATGTTCTTCTCTAAAATAGCAGCTTGCTTTTTGATTGTGAAGTCATCCACTGTCCTCATATAAACCTGTTTCTTTATAATTTTATTTTTATTGTTTCTGTTATGAATGTGTACAGCAAGCAAGAACTCCTGCCTGGACAGTTGAGGGCGTGGATTACGTCATCTGGTGTGACCATGCTCCTCTTCTGAGCTTCTCCCATATAACGTAAACTTCTGCCCCTTTCGAGTCATCGTTGTCCGTTTGATCGCATGAAGAGCTAACTCTTAAAAGACCTAAGGTTCAAGGCAGCCATTCCCTGCTCAGAAGTCCTCATTTCCACCAGCACAACCAGCTGATCCTCCGGCAGGTTTTCAGAGGCAGCAAGTGAAACCACACAGGAAGAAATTGCGCGTTTTTCTCCCTCGGAACTACTGGCGGATTTGAACTGCCAGCGAGGTGCCACCTTTGGGTTGGCAAGCCCACTCCCTGTGGACTAGCTGAACTATTGTTTGGCTCTAAGAAAACTGCAGGGGATATTTTTGGCTTAAAGTTCAGGATGTAAGGATTTCCTCAGGGTAGTTGTTTTAAAGATTGATCCGTCAGCCATGGATGAAGAACTCCAGTGCCGTAAGACTCCGAAATTCTGTTCTGTACTTTCCCCCTTTTGATCACAATAGTCAGTAATTGTAGTTGGGCAACATCCGGTTCTTGCCTCACGGCAGAGGAGTTGGTGCATGGATGCGGTTAGCCAGCATTCATTCCACTTCTTCCTCCTGTTCTTGATTCTCCATTTTCCTCTATTAGTCCAGGTGAATAGAGAGCAGTGTCTCTTGGGCGGCCGGCCACCTGCCTCCTTTGAACACCCCAGATACTGCTGCAGTGAAGTAGGAGGCAGAATATAAGCACCAAACGTGTTCTTAGGCAACTGGGGTGTCTTGTGACACCATGGCCGTGAACTTCAAAACCCAGGAACCAAACCCGGGCTGTGTTGATCATACATTAGCAGCCTCAGCAGGTGGTACTCTTTTATTAACACACAGCTTTTGTCAAAGCAGCTTTTTCTTGAGTTTTGGGTTTGTTTTTTTTCTGTGTACCATTAAGTCAGATCCCCCTGGAACAGGAAGAGATTGCCTCTCCTTCTCCAGTGGAGCAGCTGGTGGATTCAAACTGCACACCTTCAGGATTGCAGCACAGCTTCTTGCCACTTGGCCACCAGAGCTCTCTAATGCAGCTTTTTTAGGTGTGCCATTTTTTTTTTACACCAGTGTTAGCGATCTGCTCTTCAGATTAAGGTTTCAACCTTAAGCTTAATGTGATTTTTTTTTCACCTTAAAACTGAAATTCAGTATTTCATAAGCAATAACAACTACTTCTTTCCCTCCTAATGTTGGCAGGTAACCGCTAAGGCGGCCCCATTTATTTACTTTATCATTTGCCATTTGTGTGTGTAATTAGATATTCCATTGCTGATAGCTTGACTCAGCAGTTGCCCCTGCATATTCTTCAAGACTTAGGCAGTTTCAGTTTGCATAGCTTTCAGTCCATTTTTAGTTTCGTTTTTATGTGATAGGAGGCATGGGTTCTGGCTCATTTTTCTGCATGTAGAAATTGAGTTTTTCTAGCTCTGTTTATTAAAATGATTCTTCTTTCCCTATTGAATATCTTGGAGAAACGGGTATGTCAACATACATGTGGGTTTTTTCTTGTACTTTCATTCAGTTGTACTCCCTTGGTTTGTGTGTCTTCTTTTTTTTTTAATTATTATTTTTGTGTGAGTGTACCGTCAAATCAGATCTGACTGGTACAGGAGGGGATCGTCCCTCCTTCCCCGGCAGAGCATCTGGTGGATTCGAACTGTGCGCCTCTGGGATTGTAGTTGTAGCTCCTTACCACTAGGCCACCAGAGCTCCCCAGTTCGTGTGTCTTTTATACCAGTGTCAGGATGTTTTGACAGCTGTGGTTTCATGTTATGTGATGTCATGTTACTTTATGTTATGGACAGTTGAGTCAGAGCTGACTTGTAGCTGCACTTCCCGTGGGTTTTCAGAGGCGGCAAATGTTACTCCCGCTCCCCAGATGTCCCTGAGGTCTCTGGAGCACGTCTCCTGCACCAGCTCCCCGTCTGTTGTTGTTTGTATATGATCGCGAGTTGGAACCAACCCATAGCTGACCCTCCTGTGTGTCTTACAGGGGCTGTAAATTGTGAGGGAGGAGATTACCCATCTTTCTCCCAGGGAGAAGCTGGTGAATTCAAACAGCGTACCTTTGGGTTAGCAGCACAACTCCTTATCACTAGGCCACCAGAGCTCCCTGTTTTAAAATTAGGAAACGTGAGTCTTCCTCCTTCTTTTTCAGCATTCCTTTATCTAGTTAGGGAACAGTGGGTTGTGCATTGGGCTGCTACCTGGTATCCATGGGAGCCACTCTGAGGGAGAGAAACGAGGCGGTCTGCTTCTGGGAAGACTTAGAGCCCTGAAGCTCTGTCCTGCAGGGTCGCCAGTGTTCAGAATAGACTCAAAGGCAGTGGGTCTTGATTTGTCACTATATATAAAGTTGAGGATTGGTTTGCCCCTCTCTGTTGGAATTTAACGTTAACCATTTGCCCCACTCAGGGACCCAGAGGTTCGGAAGAGCAAACAAAGCTCTCAGCTCCTGGAAAGTGTGGTACCTCACGGTAGAGACTGAGCAGTAGGAATATTCGGGCAAACTGTACTCTCTCCTCACTGGTGGGAGAAGCTGTGTTCTCTTGGAGGAGACCTGGAGTTTCATTCTCCTTCAGTCACTAGAAAAGGATGGAATGGGGAGGATGGAGTGAGATTCTGGAGGAGGAGCTGGCTTCTCCCCTCTGGACACACCAATACAAGCCCTTTTTGTCTTCGTGGGTGAGCAGAACCAGGTCTCTGCTGTGACCAGACTTCCTCACTCCCCCCACAGCCCCAGGCCCCAGGCTCCCGTTCTCATGCTGTCAGCAGAGTGAGGAGAAGCCAGAGCTCAGTCCTTCGTTGCCGGCAAACAATATAACTCTACAACTGCATCTCTCTGCATGGTTTACAAAGCCAGGAGCCCTGGCAGAGCCGTGGTTAAAACCCTTAGCTACAAACAAGAAGGACTGCAGTTCAAATCCACCCACCCCAGTGGGAGAAAGAAGTGGCAGCATGCTTCCGTAAAGATTGTGTGGTTCTCGTAGCTGCTGGGTGTTGCTGGGTCAGAACTGAATCACAGCTCACCTTCCAGCTGGTTTTCAAAGGCAGCAGATCACGCGCAGGAGATTGCCCACCTTTTCCTATGGAGCAGCTGGTGGATTTGAATCATGTGCCGATAAAGCATTGCAGCTCCTTACGACAGCCACCAGACAGAAGAGATTTGGATTTACAGCCTTGGAAAGCCTATGGGGCAATTCTGCTTGGTCTTTAGGGGTCTCTGTGAGTCAGAATCAACTTCAAGGTCTTCATAACACTGCATTGGTGTCGCTGAAAAAGGGCTGAGGAGTCCGGTACAGCTCAGGGACACACCTTGTGGCTGCTGTGTTAATATTGATCGTGTCTCTCTGGTGCTCACTTTGTTAAGGAATCTGTTCTCCTGACCCCTGTCTAACCCAGCAGTCTAGTCTTGTTTGAGCATGGGAGTCTGTCCAACAGAGCAGGTTAGTTGTTGGTAGGTGGGAGGCACTGTTTCAGGGTTTACAAAGCTCTGATGTGTATGACATCTCTGGTTCTTAGCCTTGACTGTGAGCAAACCAGCTTTATGATCCTGTCTGAAGGATGGGGAAGCAGACACAGGGAGAGCCATGTTCTGGATCTCGGGGCTTGAAGAGTGGGGAATCAGGCCTCAGCTGGGGCTCTGCAGACCACAGGGGCTCGGAGAGTGGGGAACCAGGCCTCCACTGGGGCTCTGCAGACCACAGGGGCTTGGAAAGTGGGGAACCAGGTCTCAGCCGGGACTCTGCAGACCACAGGAGCTCGGAGAGTCGGGAACCAGGCCTCAGCCGGGGCTCTGCAGCCCACAGGGGCTCCGAGATCAGATCAGGAGGGAGTTAGAGTGGGAGCAGTGAGAGGGAAACTGCCCGTGAGAACATTGTAAATATTTGTCCCTGGTCGGACTCCGCACAGGACTGACCTTTGGCTGCTTAGGATCTTACGAAGCATGTGTTCAGGTACATGTTTGTTGACTGAGGGACAAACAGTTGATTCTTACAAAACTCCTTCCTATGCCATTTCTGTTCCAGTTCTGAGTGTTCTTCCTCCCAGCAGAACCGGGGGCCCAGGTCCTCAGTGAGTGCCCAGGTGGGAGAAAGTCCAAGTGCAAAAGCCAAAGTCCCCGGCAGGTCTGGCCTGGCCCTGTGTGTGTGCATGCGGCCTTGGTCCAGATATCTGAGCCACCCTGGCACCTCTAGGGCTGAGGCCTCTGCACTTCCTGCCACCTTTGCTTTGGCAGACTTGGCCCACTCTGGTTAATTACCCCGGCTGACCCCAGCCTGTCAGAGGGAGTGACGGCGTCCCACCAGGGAGACCCTATACAGCCCTGCAGAGGCCACTGTGCTGACCCATCAGGAGAATGAGCCTTGGACTCAGTAGCATTAGACAAAATGTTTACGTTTTGCAAAGTTCTTGTCTGTTAATTGACCTTACGTTTCATTCTCCAAAGTCTAAAAGGAAGCAGCACCTTCCTCCTAAAAGGATACTTTACTCCAAGCCAACTCGTAAGCTGTATGTTTGTGGGTGAGGCTGGCCTGGTCCCTGGGTCCTGCAGTGAATC